TTTTTTTTGCATTTTCCTCCTCTTTTTGGTGTGCCTTTCTTCCAAGGAACCCTGCTCTTCACCCACTGGGTGCAGGTTCTGCCAAGGATTTGCAGACAAGCCCACTTCTCCTGCCCGATTCAGCCCACTAAGGTTTTTATTAAACGTGGGTGTCCATGCATAGAGAGGCAGTCTGGAAGAATAGACAGCAACGTGTTATTTTCTCCTTCATACATTTTTGCATTTTCTGATTTCTTTTTATAATAAGGTTTGAAAATGAGAAAATACAGTTGTGTGTCAAGGAAATAAAGCAGCGCGGTTTGGGGCGATGGGCTCTAATAGGAGGAGGAGAAGGTCGCGAGTCCTCCTCAATCTGCCCTCCGGTTGCTAAGTCACCTTAGACAAATCCTTCCCCTGTATGGGCCTCAGTTTCCCCATCTATTCAATCAGAAGGGTGTGCCAGCTCTTCTTTACCACGGACCCCTTGCCCAGCCCATTTTCCTGCCCTGCCTTGTGCCCTGGAAGGTAGGCGCTCTGGGCTGCACCACCCAGACACCCTTGCTGGCAGACTTGAGGGTCCCGGAGGCTGGGAGGAGAGAGAGAAGTGGGAGTCTTTCTTCCTTGCTGCCTTCCTTCTTTGGGTCTCATTTCAGGCAGTAGCTCAGCTCCTCCTCAACTTCAGCTCCTGTGGGATGACCCTTGCTGTACACCTACAGTTCTCAATGGACCCCAATAACGCAATCCCCTGGGCTTCTCATTTTTGCTAGTTTTTGGGAGACTGAACACTTGGGTTGGGTCCCTTTGACCCACCCACTCTTCCGTAACATTCCTTTCACTAATCCAACTGAGATGGATTCTGTTTCCTGCTGGAATCTCAAGTCATACAAGAGTAAGAGTCGATTAGCAAGTATCAGTTTGCCAGACCATATCCCAGGGATTAAAACCTATGAATTTCCCTATTCTTTCATATTTAAACTCATTCTAGCCTTTAAGCTCCCCTTTCCACTGAAGTTGGGAAACAAAGTTGCAAATATAAATAGGACAGTTTCTTCACTCAACTCATTGCATTCAGATTGCACACGTGCACATGTGCACACACACACACTCACACACGCCACCCAGAGGTGATCTGAGCTGGTGGCGGGGGAGGAGTTTACATACCACACCAGCATCTGGGGAGGGTTGTCCAGGTGAGCGTGGTCCTCAGCCCTCGCTGGTCTCCCTGGAGTCTGGGTCACTCCAATTACTGTAGGTAACTACAGTTCTGCCATGGCCTCCAATCATTTGTTCCAAGGACCCTGCAGCCCACTCAAGACAGCATTCACCTTCAGCCACCACGTGCCCCCTCTGGGAGTTTAAGGCCTCTCGTCCGCTCCCCTACACTGTGCTGGGATCCTTGGTCTCATTGGCGCTGTCCTCAGGCCACCCCATTCCAACACCTCCCTCAGCCACGGCTGCTCCACCCATGGGCGCCATATTGGGCTTCACTTTGAGGGTTCTTCTGGGGTTTCTACAACCTTAACTGGGGCTGCTATCACCTCGGAGGATGGAGTGCTGGACTCATTCTCAGGAACCCAGTCACCCGAACCACACCCCCTCCACCTGGTCCTTCCACACTCACTAACTGAACTGAGCTTCTTTTGCACAGAACACTCTTCGCCACCACCCATTCTTCCCCACTCTACAGTTTATGGTATAAAATGTGTGCTCTGGATGCCCCTGGCTTTGTGTATGATAAGCCGAGCTTAGAGAACTGAAAAATAAGCAAACAAAAACTTTTTTTTTTTTCTTTCCAGCATCTGGCTCTGACGATCAAAAGCCATAGCTTTCAAGAGCACTTTGGAACTCAAAACTCTGAAATTTGGCTCTCATCGCCCAGGTTTCTCAGGGGCCTTCCCTTCCCTGGGGTCCCCGCCTCAAGGTCTATTGTTAATAATAGTGATGATCTTCAATGGCACTTCTAGCAATGACCAGCTCTGAATCACTCACTTATTCATTCAGTTAACAAATATTCCTTAAGCACCTCTAGCTGCCAGGTGCTATGCTGGGTACTAGGGATACAGGAGGGACCTGAAACAGACATGGACCATGCCTTGGGGAGCTGGGAGTCTACTGGGGGAGACAGGTGCTTATGAGAAGATAGAGAGAAATAAATGTAAAGTGACAATGTCATAAAGTGTCACCTGAAGGATCCTGACTATATCTTAATAGCAGCGAGAAGAGAGGACACCAGTGTATCTAGATGTCTATATGTTCTCTCTGGGTCTAGTCCAGACAGAGGCCAGAGGGAAACTGGGGAGACTAGTTAAGAGACTTCTAACCTAGACCAGGCAAGAGACAATAGTCACCAGGACTAGTGCAGGGGTAATGGGATGAAGGAAATGGGATACATACGAAAGGTGTTCCAAAGGTAAGAATGGCAGGACTTAGGGACGGATTCGACATGGAGGTGAGAAGTGAGGGAAAGAAAGGAACCAGGGCTCCTGCTTTGCGGAAGTGAATGGAAGTGGACAGGTGGTGGCATCTTCCACTGAGATGGGAACTCAGAAGCAGGAACTGTTAGGGAAGGAAGGTCGTTTTTAGACTGTTTGGGCCGGGCTAGGTGTGCGGTGCCCACGAGACAGCCAAGAGGGGACATCGATAGCAAGGTGGATTCACAAATTTGCACTCAGCAGGTGGTTTGATCTTGAGGTGCTGACTGGTGAATCGTCTGCATGGAGACAGGAAAAGTAAGAAAGAAAACTGAGCTCTGAGGACTCCAGCAAGGTCTGGAAGCAGAAGATGAGATTGAGGAATCCAAACAGTGAATTCAAGAATAGGGAAAAGACGGTACAAAGAAAATAGAAACTAGCAACCAGAATGCAAAAATGCAGAGCGGACTACAAATAATGAGGCATAAAACTTACTACAAATGTCAAAAATAGGCATTAAAGCTGAAGATACACAATATGTTAACATAATTTATTATGAAAAACCATGATCATAATCATCTGGTTCTAAAAATCCCAAATTATTTCACCCCCAAAATGAGATATATGAGAGGAAAGAGAAACACATTATGGGAAATCAAGATTTTTATATTTAAAATAACCTCTACTATAACAAAAATAAATGTATGACTTCTAACCCAACAAAGAAAACTAATTCAATAAAACATGGCTCATTAAAAACAAAAAGCAGAAATAAGATGATAGAAATAAGATCGAACATAATAGGCGTCACGATAAATGTGCACAGACTAAATTCATCAAAGACTCAGATTAGATCAAAAGCCCAAATCCAAATTGTTAGACCTTGGAGTGAAATTTTCCTGATATTTGATGGTAGCTTGCTGGAGAACCTTGGAATATAAAATCCTGCCCCACCAACCACTCTGCCACATAAAGTTCCCATGGGACAGACTCTCCAAAAACAACAAAAATGAAAAATAAGTTTTCGTGTAATTATGTCGGTTGCTAAATCATTGGCAGACAGAAATTGGCCATGGTGGGAGTGTTGATACCAGGGAAATTGGGAGATGCTACAAGTCAGGGAGTTGTGGGTTTTTTGTTGTTTTGTTTTGTTTTTGAGAGCTGGTTGTTAAGCATTTGTTGGACTGACTACTCCATAAGTCACCAAATAAGAAGAAATGTATCTCTATAAGCTGAAGGGACCCTGTGGCAGAAGCGGTCAGTGCCCTATCATCTCCACGGGACTTTTCAGAGCGTTCTGGCCAACTTCCGCCTCCAGTCTCTGCATCCGGGAGTGAGGGCTCTTGTTTGCAGAACTGCCCGTGTCTGGCAGCTTGGAAGTGCCAAGGAACTCACACACATGCCCGAAATGCCCCTAATAAATGAATCTTTGGGAAGTTGGTGTTTTTATGCCCCAGTTCCCTCACCATTTGGGGTGGGGTCATTCTGAGTTGTGTGTTTTATACAATTTCCCACAGTTTCCCCAAAGGCCTTCAGATGCCCACGGAGGTAGCTGCCTTAATCACATACTTTAACCTCTGTAAGTCTTTACTACTTTCCATACCTGTTTTTCTAAATATAATTTTTGCTTGGTTTTTCTTATTACAGGAAATACGTGCATTGAAGGTTTGAGAAAGTATAGAAAATATAGTTACAATGTTTGTCTCATTCTTTTTTCGATGTTTGTATGTGAATGTATGTACAAGTATATCTCACTTCCCCACCCTCCAGCAGGCTTCCTTGCACTTCCTAAATAAACGACTTGCACCTGAATCTGTTATGGCGCGAACGATTCTAAGACCCACGGAGCCAATTGAGATTAATTATGAGCCTTTATTAGCCGGCCGGCGACTGACTCTCTACCTCGCAGGGTTAGAGGAGATCAGCTCTGAGTTTCCAGAGCAGGCCGCTTATAAAGC